TAATGTTGATGGAAATGCACACAATGCAAAGGTTTCAAGTGTGCTGACAAATCAGCACAATCAGTATGCTGCTGTCAACAAATTCTGTTTAACCAGCCAGATTTTCAAGCTCAAAAGTCTGCAATTAAAGAATTGGTGGAAGGCTATGAACACAAGGCAGTTTTTTATCCTAAATTCCATTGTGAATTGAACTTCATTGAACAGTGCTAGGGTTATGCTAAATTCAACTACCAGATGATGCCTGCCCCTACTACTGAAGCTCAAATGGAAAAGCATGTTCAAACATGCCTTAATTCTATTCCTCTTGATTTCTTTCAAAAGTGAGTACTTTAAATCTTTCTTTCTTACAAAATTGATTTTATTATATGTTTTGTAGGTATTGTAACCAGTCTGCTCAGTTCATGGATGCATATAGAAAGGGGTTGACAGGAGCACAGGCTCAATAGGCAAATAAGAAATACTATAGCCATAGAATCCTTCCAGCTAGTATTCTGGCTGAGCTGTAAAACCATAATCTATATTTTTTTTTGTATTTACAAGTGCTAAAAAAAATGTCGATGTCCACCGCTCGATTTTTGCCATCAGGGTCCTTCCTAATGGGGAAGTGGCTGTGCTGTGACTGATGTGACATACTATGTCGAGTTTATACTTTCCTTACCTTACATCAAGCTAGATTGTCAGGCACCGAAAGAGAGTGCACAACTACGTTCATGCACAAGGTTGAAGCACTTAGATCGCCTTAGTTTTAGGCTTTCGATTGTTGAGACAACTAGATTTAACCTACAGATGTCTGCTACAGATTACTAGAGAGATTCACCTCATAATAATTAAGCTAGCACTGGTAAATTCCAGGGTGCTGATTAGCATGAACGCAATGCTTTTGAACCATCTGCGTTCTGTAAATTTACGCTCATGTTCTTCGTTGACCGAATACATCCTTACGCCTTACTTTTAGGCTTTATCATAAACCAAGCCATACAGAAGGCGAGATACGAATTTCACGGCCGAAGAAAATGAACCTCCAGAATGCATACACATGTGTAAGGAATGACGCCATTCGATGACAATGAAATCATCAATAGTTGGATCTTATTATTATTTATTATTAGATGATCCACTTGCCGATATACAAAATATTATTGAGCGCTGAAGAAAGAAGTATCTGAAAGCTCCCCCACTTAGCATGTCGTCTTTTCAAATTTCTTACTTATAATATTTACAAAGTGAGGATTATTTTTAATTTAGTAGAAGTTGCTTCCGGTTTACCTACGGCTCTAATAGTCAAAAAAAAACCGTACAAGATGTCCGAATCTACCGGCTTTGGCAATCCATCCTTCGTATGCACTTATTCTCATTCGAGAAAAGAATAACGCCCAGTTTCCTCTTTCCCGGCGGCCATATGGCCTAAGTTCAGGAGCAAGAAAATATACACGACTTTTAACAATTGGTCAAATGATATAAATTCACGACTAACAATTATAGACGGTTCGGTATCTATTTCTAGTTCGACAGAATTGCAGCAAATGCACTAATTTATCCTCGAGGTCATAGTCCTCGAGCTAATTTTGCAATGGTGAACTGCGGAAATGGATCTTCTAGGAATCCGCAGTAACAGTTCGATCGGGCGCGTGTTCTTCGGGTCCTTCGATACCGGGCCCGTCCGTCAACACAGTATGGGTCTAACCAATAGGCCCCGAAATTTCAGTTACTGGTTACTCGAATATATCATGTGGACACACCAATGCGAACTCCGTTCATTCAAACGCGTTCACTTGTCCCTTATGGATGCGTTCAAGTGCACTGTCCTCCAACGAATCTCGCCATTTACTCCCTTTCTTCCCTCCATTAACCCAAATATCGGAATCTCCGTTATCTGCAGAACCATATGCGCATTCGAGCGAAGTTGAATTACCAGGTGGACATCGGCGTTGTACCACGATGCTTGGTACCACGCTGAAGCTGCGGATGCGCCGTGTTGAGATGAGATGGGCAATTGCCTGGTCAAGTGCTCGTGAGAATGCGAAGGGAGCGTATGATAGGTGAGATAGAAGACGGCGAGCGCCGAAGGGCGAAACGACGTAGCCATGAGTACATTTGGGGCGATGTGATGGATGGAGAGGAGACGTGGGCGTGATAGATGGGTGGAATAACTCGTTTGACCAGCAATGTCCTTCAGAGCGTTAATTTGTTGCGGGATTAAAATAATTATAACAGCGTACCAAGCACGACTATGTCCCATTCTTGAGGTAGATCCACCCACATCTTCTCCAGTCTTTCACGCATGTCCCACTCTACATCAACATCATCTTCGAAGATGACCGTTACTCCCTCCCGTCCGTCCCAAGAATCATTGCGGACGTGTCTTGTGTGTTTGACAATGTTTTCCAGAAGCTGTATATGAGAATACCAACAGGCAATCATTCCTTTTGACAGTTTCTTATGGAACGGAGCAGACGATGAATTCGTGTATGAAGGAATGTTGTTGTCTCCGGTGGCACAGAGCAAAGGTTCAGTAGTAACGTTCCTGTCACCTGTATCATCATACGCTATTTTCTCCAAGCCGAACGACTCTTTTCGCGCCTCTTCAAGTGTATCTGGCCATTTGAAGCTTGAATTTGATGCGTCAACTCTTAGCCTTGATACTTCGAATAGAATCCTGTTGACGAGGGGATCATTCTTGTCAAGGGCATCAAAGTAACTCCAGTTGAGGCCTAAAGCATCCCCGAGTAGCATGTCCATGACTTGTCTACGATCAGTCCTCCTAGCAAGCGAGATAACGAAAATAGAAGTGGCAATGCCAAGTGTTCGCGCGTTTGAGTTGTGCGAACCATCGATAATAGAATTAGATGCGACTCGATGCGCCACTGAAGACGAACAGACATTAGAAAGAATAGCATTTCGAAAGGGCATAGCGCAGATGCGAGACTTCACACGAGTTCGGGGTAGAAAGAACAAGCTGAGCATAAAGACCAGTAATGCACTGAAGAGGAGCACCGATAGACCAATACCAATCCGGAGTTTACGACTCGTCATGATGCTGAGAAAGTATGCCAAGAAAGAAATCAGATGATTTGACTAGTGACCCTTGTTCCACAAACATTGGAATGTCAAGCTGGCGGTGTCGAACACAAAAGACAAGCTTGCCAGCAGGTATTTGTTTGAGTTTGAACAATTTCGTTGCGTCACGAGACCAAGGAGAAAATGAGTGTACACAGTAACAAACACTAGTAAATCCATAGGCCGCTTCGTAGCAAGCTTTTTGCATTTCTTCATGGATCATCCATTCCTCACGGCGTGCTTGTTCTCCGACACCATGCGCTTACCTATGGCTCAATCTGGCTCGTGCAATTCCTGCGTCCCGATGAGTCCCGTGATTATGTCAGAAGCATCTCTCGGAAAGGCATCGCGTATGCAAGGCGCGTTCTCATAGCAATGAGAAATACATTATACGCCTTGTGATATTTCATGTTATCTGCAGTGGAGCGCAATTACCTTTCGAAAGTGCTGCTGCTGCATATCAAACAGAATATGCTTGGTTCAGCCATATTTGGGAGCGTGATGGGTCCATAGTTTATAAACATTACGGTCGTGTTTCTTTGTCCACCTTTGAATTTCCGACCCATAACTTTCCTCCATAACAGTTTAATTACCAGTATTGTATCACTTTCTAGTGATCTGTCTATAACTCTTGATTCTTCTCGTTAGTATCGAACACTGCATTCACTGTGAGCCTTTCTAGTGTCTTTTTTTTTCGTCTTTTGGTCGATATCTTTTTTAATCTGCAGATATTTGGTGCTTTCAAGCACCCTTTGTTCACCTTCAAAGCTCGACCTTTTCATCAACTGCTGTGGCTCATGCTTTCAGATACAGTAGAATACTGAATTGCTTTATCCAACAGGTGACATCATACACAGTTATGCTTTCAGTGCACGCTTGGCTTTATCTGTAACTAAAGGTGTTACTAATCTCGGACAGTATTACTTTTGTTCATTCCTACATACTTGGAAACAATGCGGAAAGAGTGCTATTTTCTATTGTCGTTACCGATATTCTTCCAGTGATGCTATGTTCTCATAAATAGGCACTTTCTTTCTTACCAAGGCTTCTAGACATAGATTCTGTTATAGCTTTTGTACACACAAATGCTGAGTAAAATGTGTGGTCCTAGTCTCTAAGCGGATTGCATCTGAAGCCTTTCTTCCATCTCGTACGCCTATATTCTTTCCTATTGATAGTCATATTGTCCTAAACATTGACTGTCATTACATTCTTGAACGCACTCCTAGCATGGCTACTGTTATATATAAGCAATCTCCTTCTGTTTCCATCCGCAGTGTCGTGTCAAAGGCTCAAGCCAAAGTGCCAGTTACTACCATATATCCTATCTGTTGTATTAACTTGCATATTGTGGTACACATCGTTTCCCATTTTTTCTTGCAGGTTAGTATCTTTATCGCGCACTCCTGCAAGTAATGGCAGATTTTTGTAACTCACAGAGACACTTTATGCAGAAGATAGCGGAGAACACGTGTTTCGAGGTCAAGGAAATTCAGGTAATGTATCTCTTGTAGCTTATTTGTTCCCCTTTCACTGATAGCACGGCTCAGACAACAAGTATTGGAAATATTTAAGCTTTGCTGCATTCCGCGCCAACATGGAGGGCTACGTGGAGGGCTTCATCGACTTCGAAATGATTTGTTTTGTAAACGGCCGAATGGCCATTAAGCACTGGAAGTGCTTTGAGAAATCTTTTAAACGAGAACACCTAGACAAGTGTGTTTGCCATGAGCGTATTGCACTTGGGTTTTGCCGGGAAGGACATCCAAGTCGCTTTGAGGTATTGAACAGTCTTGGTCGTTATGTCTTCACGCGATTCCATTTATATGGAAGAATAGAAGACCTGGAAGAGGCCGTTGAGCGCCACTGTGCCGCCTTGGAGCTTTGCCCAGATGGACATCCTAGTCGTTCCAGGTGTCTGTCTGGCGTTGCGGCTTCCCTGGCAAATCGATTTAAAGAGGTTGGTCAGATTGAGGACCTTAATAGGGCCATTGAGTGTCTTCGTACTGCCCTGCAAATTTACCCAGATGACGACCCCAAACGTGCCATGTTCTTAAATGACCTTGCCGCTTCCCTTGAAATGCGATTTGAACAGCATGAACGGGCTGCAGACCTTCAAGAGGCCATTGAGCACCAGCATACCACCCTGAACCTTTTACCCGACGACCATATCATCCGTCCTGCAACTCTGAATAACCTCGCAACTCTCCTGAAAATTCGATTTGAGCGGAATGGACAGACTGCAGACCTTGATGAGGCCATTGATCATTGTCGGACGGCCATGCGACTTTGCCCCAGCGCCCGTCCCGATCGTCATATCTATCTAAGTTGCCTTGCCACTTGCCTTGATGCCCGATTTAAGCAGTGTGGACGGGCAGCAGACCTCGACGAGAACATTGAATATAGTCGTGCTGCGTTGGATCTTTGTCCTGACGGTCATTCCGATCGTTACTTGCCCCTGCACAAACTTGCAGTTTCGCTGCTAACTCGATTTGGACAGTATGGAAAGACTGCCGACCTTGATAATGCTGTTGAATGTTTTCGTGCTGTCCTGGAGCTTTGCCGTAACGGGCATCCCTTTCGTCCTAAATCGCTTAGTAGCCTTGCCACTTGCCTTCAAAGTCGTTTTAAACATTATGGTCGAACTGCGGACCTTGACGAGGCCATTGGCTACCATCGTGCTGCCCTAGATCTTTTCGCCAAAGACCATGAAAGTCGTTTCCTGTCTCTGACGAACTTTGCGGGGTCACTGACGACTCGATTTGAATACTATGGGCAGATAGCAGATCTTAATGAAGCCATCGAGAATCATCGCGCTGCTGTAGATCTTTGCCCGAGTGGTCATCTTAATCGTTCCTTGTCTCTGGATGACCTTGCGAATTGCCTTCGGATCCGATTTGAACGACATGGACAGGTTGCAGATCTCGAGGAGGCAATCAAGCATAGCCGTACTGCTTTGGAACTATGCCCTGAAGATTATCCCGAACGTCCTGGATTTCTACATACCCTTGCATCCTCCCTTATGTTTCGATTTCAACAAGACAATGGTCAATCTGTAGATCTGGATGAGATCATCAAGTATCAACACGCTGCTCTACAACGCCCTGATGATCATCCCTGTCGTCCCGTATCTCTAAATAATCTCGGAGGTGCACTTTATCTTCGATTTGAACAGCATAGACGGGCAGCGGATATTGACGAGGCCATCGAGTGTCATCGTACTGCCCTGCAGCGTTTCCCGGAAGGCCATGCCCTCCGTTCCTCATCTCTGCACAATCTCGCTCGTTCTCTGGTCTCTCGATTCGAGACGTTTGGACTCATCGATAATTTCGAAGAGTGTATGCAATTACTCGAACGTGCAACCAAGCATGAATTTTCTAGCCCGGTGGCCCGTGTAGAGATCGCCATCCATTGGCCTAACATTGCTCGACGTCATGCTCACCATGCCACATCAGAAGCGTACAAGGTGGCAATAAGGCTCCTCCAACGTGCCCTCATTATTGGTCCTACTCTCCATGCCCAGCACGACTTCCTCAAAGGGAAAAGTAACTATACGACACTCACGTTACATGCAGTGGCATATGCGGTACATGAGAACAGGCTTAAGAAGGCTATAGAAACACTTGAACAAGGAAGGGGCTTACTCTGGTCACAGATGCGTGGTTTTAGGACACCTCTAGAGCGCCTTGCGGAAAGGGATGGAGCACTTGCTGACAGGTTGAGGGAAGTTAGTCAGCAGCTGGAGAATCTTGCGACATCAAATACTGTGTTTCAGTCCAATTCAGGTGTGGGTGAAAGCGGATCATCTGCACCGGATGCGCATAGAGATCAAAGATTGTTCGATGAGAGACTGAAGCTGAAGAGGCAACTCTCTAATTAGCAGGAGGAGCTTATCGACAAGATTCGTCGAATTCCTGGGTTCGAGGACTTTCTTGCAGCTACTCCATTCAAAGTTCTCCAGAGGGCAGCTTCAGAGGGTCCGGTGGTTGTGATTTACGCTTCCAAATATCGATCCGATGCACTCATTGTCCTCCCCAGCGAGAACTACCCAGTCGTCTGTGTCCCATTAGACGGAGAATTCTACGAGGATAGCACCACATTGTGTGTCAATCTCTTGCATACCCGAGTGAATTCCAAAATTTACTCTCCTGAATATGACTCAATACTGCGCCGAGTAATGAGGATGCTATGGGACAGAGTCGTCTCCAAGGTCGTCACCAAACTTGAGGAGCTGGGGATTCCCAAAGGAACGCGGATCTGGTGGTGCCCTACGTCTTTACTTTCTACTCTTCCATTCCATGCAGCAGGGCCGTTTGAGGATGCGGATGGTACCGTGAAGTATTTCTTGGATGACTACATATCGTCATATACCCCGACACTCGGAGCTCTCATCAATGCCCGGTCGAGGGAACGGAAAAACACTGGCAATCCTGAAATGCTTGTCATTGGTGACACCGTTACCCTTACATCGACCGGGACTGAACTTCGTGAGATCCGGACGAACACCGGGAGTTATGTTTCTTCCCGCACAGAGCTTCTCAACGAGAGGGCGACTCGCGGCAGAGTGTTGAAACGTCTACAGAAAGTCACGTGGGTCCATTTTGCCTTCCACGGACATTTGGGTTCGGGATCGCTTGACTCTTCTTTCACGCTCTCTGATGGCGGATTGACATTGCTTGATACCATGCGAGCTAACATTCCAAACGCCGAGTTTGCATTTCTCTCTGCTTGTCACACTGCTGAACAAGATCTATTCGCCCCACTCGATGAAGTGCTCCACTTAGCCGCCGCTGTACAGTACTGTGGGTTTCGAAGCGTGATTGGGACGATGTGGGAAATGTATGATCCGGATGGCCCTTTGCTTGCTTGCTAAAGAGGTTTATTCTCATATGGCGCAGTACGAAGACGGTGAAGTGATACACAAGCGGTCCGCATCCGCGCTCCGCAAAGCTGTCTTGAAGTTGAGAAAAGAGGAGGGTGTCCAGACGGAGCGATGGGTTAATCTAGTGCACATTGGTGCTTGATTGATATTGCGTAGTAAATGTGTCGTTTATTGAGTGTTGATTTGTTGCAATATGTTTAGTTCTTCTACTTTTGAATTATATCCACGTAATCTGTGTTGGTTCCCGCAATTCGTGACTCGTTTCCTGTATTCATTAAGTAAAAGCCTACACATTTGCAGAATATAGTTGTATACTAATATTGTCTACATTGTTACTGAAAAATTACAAACCCTAGCTCCTAGATCATGGACTCATTGCCATTCAGGCTACAGTAAGCATATCTAACTACAGACCTGCAAAATACATATCAAGACTTTAGAAAGTCCGAACACTGCTGGTCTGACTATGGTCACTCTGCTACGGCGGGCATTCATTTTACTCGTATACTACAGCTTTTTACCGGTAAATTCACATCAGATGTGTCTCCCAAATTACAGCAATATCTCGGGAGAAATACAAACGATTTCGGTGCAACCTTCAGTCAAAGCATAGGATAACTATGCTCCATTACCATCACAGAGGCTCAATGGACGGTATAGGCCCAATTGGAACAATTAGGTTAGGGTTTATCTTGATGAATGACTGGAATAAGAAACTACAACATGATTGCAATCTGGACAGGAAGCTTACCGTTCTAATTGAATGGTATCCTGTCTTGATGTGATCGAAGTTCGTTGTTGAGTTAAACGCAGGATTCTTCCAATACAGTTGCCTTAACCACCTAAACATCCGATATAAGTACATCAGACGTAAAAATAATTCCGAGGGAAGGGCGTCGTCACCGATGAATATTCGGATAGCCTTCCCGGATCGTGCGTAAGTTGCACTTGAAAATACCATGGTACGCGACATCGAAGCGTACGGCAGTAGTATAAAGTCGTACGTCCGCCTCTGTTAGCTGATTGCCAATGAGAAAGTCTTTTCCTTCAAACAATGGCTCTACGCGGTCGAGTGATGCAAAGACCTGAGTCACGGCTTTCTCATATGCTTCTTGGGTTCCCGCGAAACCTGCTTTGTAGACTCCATCTGCAAGAATTTGCATTAGTGCGCCTTTGAGCATGCAAAAATGACGATAACTAACTGTTTATTCCGTCGTATACCCATTCATTGAGACTGTCAATCTCGATGCGGTGCTTCTCCGGATACAAATCGATAGAGGACTTCTCGGGTGGCAGCAAGTCATTGAAAGATGCGTTGAGGATTCGAATAATTTCGGACGATTCATTATTGACAATGGTTTGTAACTTCTTATCCCACAATATCGGAACCGTATACCTACAGGGTAGATCTTGATGAGTACACATCACGGCAGTGAAGAACTTTCCTCACCTAGCATTATACTCCGGATCCGCTTTGAGATAAATGTCTTTGATATGATCGGCGTGGTTGAGCGTATCTACGTCAGTTCCGGGGAAAGGATCGATGTTTGCAAACTTCCAGCCATCCTTGTCCATCCGTGGAGAGACAATCGAAACCGCTAGACGCATGCCATCTGAGCATACGAAACATAGTCCAGGTCAGAGCTTAACTTACATATAATGTCCCCGAGCCCCTTTACTTGCCTAACAATCAACGTTCTATGCGCCCATGCTGTAAAACGAATTCAAGAAGCGTGGATGTTTAGCCTTAGTATCGGTACTTACGACACCCGAAAGAAGCATAGATATGATATCGCCCTAAAGATAAATCAATCATAAATCAAACGAGGCAGATTATGGGTACAAACCTGACTCCGGCCCAAACTTCCCGCCTTTGACTATTGTATCGCGGAAGGAAGATGCTTGTCTCTTGAATGAACCATCCTTCTCTCTCTCAAGCTTTGTGAGGTCCGTCTGGTCACCAGTTCCTGCATCACTTGCCATTGGTAAACTGTAGTTAGCTTCTACGTGGTGTGGACAGTTAATAATGGTGTGGTGATGAAAAGTGCTACATGTGATGATGTCTTCTGGTATTTATTTGTTTGCATTGTCTTACAAGCGATGAACGCCCAGAAGTCGGACTTAGTAAAGGCGGAAGAAGGATGTAAAGGCATCTTACGTAATTTAAGTGCCGACTCGGTACCTTCGTAAGCTGAGTCCATTTCGTCATCTACTTCCACTTGCTAGTTTCCGCACAGGCGGTTTTCTTGACACTATCTACCAGCCTTTAAAATCACAAACGGTATACATACTACAGACGCTACACTTATATAGTTAAACGAAATAGAAAATGTCAGAGCTGCAGGTATTCCTAATTTGACAACCCCCATGGCTTACATAGTTCGTTGCGCGCTTGACATATAAGATACAAGTTACACAATGCCAGTTGATACAATAGCTAGTACTTTGCCGTACTGGGCCTCTAAATTTTTGCGGCACGTGGATTCCATCAGTCAAGATAGTTACGGGCATGCACTTGTACGGGAATCGTGTATAGGAACAATATCTTTTACTTGCATTCATGCTGTAAAAATGGACTGAGTCGGGGTTGCATTTGATCAACTACGTATACTATTGATTGAATCGTTCAGAATTATCCCAAGCTTTCTTCACAATTTGACGGCATACAACATTCCATCGAAGTCTCTAACGCCGACCAGTCCGAAAACAGTGGCGTCAACTTCTTTGTCGTCCTTCAGCTGTTCCAGGAGCTTTCTAATGGCTTTGACCCATTCGTCTTTGGTATCTTCCAGCTCTAGTGCAGCCCTTCCAAGCCAGTTGACGTTGTCCAGAAGCTAATTAGTAGGTCAGCGTCACACAGTTGAAGCTGTGAAGACGATCGGCCTTACGATGACGCCACCCTTCCTCGCCAACCTCTTCATCAGGAAAAAGTCAGATTTCTTGTAATTTCTTATAGACTTTGTAAAGTAACATATGTATTGTATATACATTATAAAGCAATTATAAGGCTTGTAATTGAATTGCAATGTTTAAATAAGACATATTAATGTATATAAAGACTACATAAGTACTAGGGATGAATAAAAATCTATTACATGTATTATACTAACTTTATATAACAACCTAAAGTGTTATGCTTGTATTATATTTAAATTATAATCTTAAAGAAAGAGTTATACTTATAATATAATAATGTAATAATTACTATTGTTGCCTTATAATTTATACAAAAGGTATATTAATGTATATCATACTTAGATTATTTATACAAGCAGTTTACAATTATTGTAAAAGGCATTTCATCTACTTGTAATAATTACATTAGTATGTTTAGAAAGCTATATACATGTCATATTTCTTTTTACTGTATTACAAAGTAGATCAATAATTTTATTTTATACCTAAATGCAATAATTGAAATGTTCTATCAGTTGACGACTCATATTCTCGTTGCTTATGTAATCAACTGCTGAAGATCGGGAGCA